GGCTCACGCAGGCGCAAGGCAACGCCGCGGAGAGCCCCTAGGCACGGACAGAAAGAGCACGGTAGACGTGGCCTGGAGAGAGCCGCTCACGGGCCTTGAGGCCAGGAAAGGGGCGGGGCTTCTTTCCCGACTTCCGGCTCCCACCGCGCAGGCGCAGGCGAGCTGCGGTCGGGTCCTCCCCACTCAGGTTTTCAGGTTGTCCTTCTTCTTCTTTTTCTTTTTCTTTTTTTTTTGAGACAGGGTCTCACTATGTAGTTGAGACTGACCTGGAACTCACTATGTAGCCCAGGCTGGTCTCACACTCGCAGCGATCCTCCTGCCTCATCCTCCAGTGTGCTGGGATTGCAGGTGTGCGCCACCACGCCCGGTTTTAATAAGGATTTTTACTTATGCTTTTTTATTTATCTTTTAGGTATCGGGGATCGAACTCCAGACCTTGCGCTTGTGAGGCAGGCAGCGGAACTACTGAGCTAAATCCTCGGCCCCGCTCTTGATTTTTAGAAGCAGAGAGGCTACTATTCTGCAAGGTTTTTACTTTCGATAAAGCAATACTATACAATGGGACAAGCCCTTGCTTTGCCTCTGTATTTTTCTTCACAAAATGTTTTGTTCCAGAAATGTAAGTTTGTGCTCCTGGGCTCCTGCCCAGTGTATCAAAATGGTTTGTGACTGTTTGAACCTTGTGACCTTCAGGAATGTTCGGTTAAGCTCTGGCCCCTCACAAGAAGGTTTGGGGCTAGGAATTTAGCTCAGCAGCACAGTGCAAGGTGAGGTCCTGAGTTCATCCCAGATACCAAAATAAAATTAAGCTCTGCTCCTTTTCAGAATATTAAGCTCTAAACCCCCTTTGGAGAAAGTTCTGTAACTCTGCCCCTCAACAAAGCATGTTTCAGGAATGGTCTGTAACTCCCCCCGCCCCAGCATGCTCACCTACCCTGTAGATCCCTATATAAGGAAGCTCTCGTTTCTCTTTTTTTTTTAATTTTAAAGTTGTACTTTTAATAAAAACTGCAGTTGCAGGACAGAAATGCAATCAATAGTTCCTAGGGCTCTTGAACACAATAAGCCTGAGTCATTCTCTGTCTGTGGAAGGACCGAAGCTCTCCTTTCTTGTAGAGCTCTCAGACTTCAAGCTCAGACTCCTCTGAGCCTTGCCCACTCATCATCGGATTCTTGAGTCTTCAAATTTCGATCGCCTTGACCAGAGCTGTGACACTCACTTGTGACACTTGGCCATAGCACTGAGCTGTTTGCTTTACCCCAACATTATGACTGGACCATGCATGCTGTGTTTTACTTACACCCTATATACCTTATTGAGAAGTGTAGAGAATATGTATGTGATAATTATGATTTGTGCACTTTGATAATCAAAAATTCGAAGGGCCGAGGATGTAGCTCAGAGACACCGTGCCTGCCTGGCAAGCACAAGGTCCTGAGTTCTATCCCCAGTATCAAAAAAACAAAACAAAACAAAAAACCAAGGAATTCATCCAGATTGGGGGAATCTAAGCACAAACTTTGATTTTTATCAAAGGTTCCCATTAAATACTTTTTCTCCAACTTTAGGCTCCAATTTGTTTAGTTTTTGGTGCTGGGATTGAATCCAGGGCCTTAAGCACACTAAGTGTGAACTCTACCACTAGTCCTAGTCTCCATATTAAATACTTTTTACCAAGGACTGTCCTGCAGAGAAGACTAAACCCACTGGCTTACCTATACAGAGGGCCCATTCCCCTCCCTCAAGTACTGGGGATTGAACATGGTGTCACACTGAGCTACATCCCAGCCCTGCTTTACATTTATTTTTATTATTTTATTTATTTTTTGGCACAGGGGATTGAACTCAGGACCTTGCACTTGCAAGGCAGGAACAGTGCCACTGAGCTAAATTCTCCAGCCCCCCTTTTTTTTTTTTTTTTGAGACAGAGTCTCACTATGTAGTTGAGTCTGACCTGGAACCTACTATGTAGCCCAAGCTGGTCTTGAACTCACAGCCATCCTCCTGTCTCAGCCTCCTGAGTGCTGTGTGGTTTTTGTGACTTTGTGAAATAAGAAGTAAAAAGGTGGGCTGAGGATTTAGCTCAGTGGTGCCACCACCTGCCCTCACAAGCGCAAGGTCCTGAGTTCAATCCCCAGTACATAAATAAATAAATAAATAACATCCACCCAGCTGCATCCTAAACACTTAATCCAGATTATCATTGGTTCTGAGCAGTAACCAGTTACCAACAGCTGCATCTGTGCTAAAAGTGTCTGAGGACTGAGAATTAGTTTCCTGTTGAAACAATGAGCTCATGAAAACACTTCCGCCTTACCAAATCAATCATTCACAACCACCTCATAGAGAACACACATTCTCAATCATCTGTCCTTTACTCCACAAAGTACGCTCATAGCCTAAAAGTACCAGAAGTAATTTGCTTTAGGAACACATTTACTGAGTGACAACCGTCCTCACAGGAAGAAGAAAGAGTGTGGCTGGTAATAAATAAGAGACACTCAAAATCCCCAGAGGGTTCAGAGAGGGGCCCAGTTTTCCTTAAAAAGTCCATTTCAGAGCCACAGATGGGATGTTGGAGTATGAAAGGGTGATTTTTTAGACTTCTCTGTCAGAATCCAAAGGGATGGCAACTTAGGTTCAGGTTCAGTCAATCCAGGAATCTTAAGAATGTCTGAAGGGGAAAGGAATAAAATTGACCTAGAAGCCCCCTTAGAACCCTCTGGCTCCAGAAAACATTAATCTACTTCTTCGATGGTGGGGCCGCCTGCTGCAGGCCTTCCGGGCGTGTACCCCGCTCCACATGCAGGCCCAGTACATCCTCCCTGGTAGAGCTTTGTGATGACTGGATTGCACACCCGTTCCAACTCTTTCCTCTTATGGTCAAACTCATCTTTCTCAGCCAGTTGATTGGCTTCCAGCCAGGAAAGGGCCTCTTCGCATTTACTCAGTATTTTCTTTTTATCGGACTCACTAATCTTGCCCTGCAAGCCATCATCGCTGACGGCACTCTTCATGTTATAAGCATAGGATTCTAAGGCGTTTTTGGCAGCAATTTTCTCCCTTTGGGCCTCATCTTCAGCTTTATATTTTTCAGCGTCCAGAACCATGCGCTCGATCTCCTCCTTGCTCAGCCGGCCCTTGTCGTTGGTGATGGTGATCTTGTTGGCCTTGCCCGTGCTCTTGTCGGTGGCCGTGACGTTGAGGATGCCGTTGGCGTCGATGTCGAAGGTCACCTCGATCTGGGGCACGCCGCGGGGCGCCGGCGGGATGCCGCTGAGCTCGAAGCGGCCCAGCAGGTTGTTGTCGCGCGTCATGGCGCGCTCGCCCTCGTACACCTGGATCAGCACCCCGGGCTGGTTGTCCGAGTAGGTGGTGAAGACCTGCGTCTGCTTGGTGGGGATGGTGGAGTTGCGCTTGATGAGCGCCGTCATCACGCCCCCGGCCGTCTCCAGCCCCAGCGACAGGGGCGCCACGTCCAGCAGCAGCAGGTCCTGCACGTTCTCCGACTTGTCCCCCATCAGGATGGCCGCCTGCACCGCCGCCCCGTAGGCCACCGCCTCGTCCGGGTTGATGCTCTTGTTGAGGTCGCGCCCGTTGAAGAAGTCCTGCAGCAGCTTCTGCACCTTGGGGATGCGCGTGGAGCCGCCCACCAGCACCAGGTCGTGGATCTGCGCCTTGTCCAGCTTGGCGTCGCGCAGGGCCTTCTCCACGGGCTCCAGCGTGCCGCGGAACAGGTCCGCGCACAGCTCCTCGAAGCGCGCCCGCGTGATGGACGTGTAGAAGTCCACGCCCTCAAACAGCGAGTCGATCTCCAGGCTGGCCTGCGTGCTGGACGACAGCGTCCGCTTGGCCCTCTCGCAGGCCGTGCGCAGCCGCCGCACGGCCCGCTTGTTCTGGCTGATGTCCTTCTTGTGCTTCCTCTTGAACTCCTCCACGAAGTGGCTCACCAGCCGGTTGTCGAAGTCCTCCCCGCCCAGGTGCGTGTCGCCCGCCGTGGCCTTCACCTCGAAGATGCCGTCGTCGATCGTCAGGATGGACACGTCGAAGGTGCCCCCGCCCAGGTCGAAGATGAGCACGTTGCGCTCGCCCTTGCCCGTGCGGTCCAGCCCGTAGGCGATGGCGGCCGCCGTGGGCTCGTTGATGATCCGCAGCACGTTCAGCCCCGCGATCACGCCCGCGTCCTTGGTGGCCTGGCGCTGCGAGTCGTTGAAGTAGGCGGGCACGGTGATCACAGCATTGGTGATAGGGTGGCCCAAAAAGGCCTCAGCGATCTCCTTCATCTTCGTCAGCACCATGGACGAGATCTCCTCGGGGTAAAAAGCCTTATTCTCCCCTTTATAGGACACCACCACCTTGGGCTTGCCTCCTTCATTGATCACTTGAAAAGGCCAAAGTTTCATATCTGACTGCACGACAGGATCGTTAAATTTCCGACCGATCAGACGTTTGGCATCAAAGACGGTGTTCTGGGGGTTCATGGCCACCTGGTTCTTGGCCGCATCCCCGATCAGCCGCTCCGTGTCGGTGAACGCCACGTAGCTGGGGGTGGTGCGGTTGCCCTGGTCGTTGGCGATGATCTCCACCTTGCCGTGCTGGAACACCCCCACGCACGAGTAGGTGGTGCCCAGGTCGATGCCGATCGCTGTTCCCCTAGCATCAGTCATTGTTGTCCGGGGCCTGTGCAGAAAGAACAAGAGACCATGTCCAGAGTGCTTTTCAGTTTTCTTATGATTTTGTTATAAAATGTGCTGATCAGCTTTCAAATGCAAGAATATATAAATAGAATAAACACACCCAAGACCCTTTCAAGACAGGAAGAAGCCCTGGACAAAAAGTACGCAAATGTTGTTTCTCTTTTTGTGATACTAGAGATTGAACTTGAGGGCTTCTTTCTGAGCTACAACTCCAGCCCTTTTGTCTTTTGCTTTTTTTTTTTTTTTTTTTAACACAGGGTCCCACTAAGTTGCTAAATTTCCCAGGTTGTCTTCGAATTTACAATTCTCCCTCCTCACCCTCTGAGAGAGCTGGGATCACGGGCATGCACTCGCCCTATAATGCCTGGCTTGGCCTTGAATTTGTGTCCCTCCTGCAGCCTACTGAGTAGCGAGGAGACAGGAATGAGCCAGCCCACACCTCGGCCCTGCACTTGTTCATTTACAGTTCTGGGGATCGAGCCCACAGCCATTTGCCACTAATGATCCTCTACGGAGAGCTACACTGCCAGCCTGTAGCTTTTGTTTATTCCAGCACACAGTCCCTGCTTCGGTAGCACATCTATCCCAGAGCACAAATCCTAAAATCCGTGCACAGTCTCCATGTTCGTGCATAACGTTTGTTTCAGGATAATCCCAGTTGCTGCAGTGTCTCCTCGCGTGTCCACTAGTGGTCGCACTGTTGAAGAGGCTGGCCAAACGGCCGTGCAGCGCAGCGCAGGGCACACACACAGCCACCCCTGTTCAGTCTGGACGCTGCCTCACAGGTTAAGGCTGAAGCATCAAAACCAGTGCTGATCTTAGCCGATATCCATCCTGCAGTTGCACTCTTGCAAAACCGGAATGCATTTCTTCATGATTAATTACGTGACTCTTTCAAAAGCTGTCAGGCGTGTTCTGAGGAAGCACCCTGCCTTGGAGCTAGGGGTTCTTGGCTTTCAGCCTCTGGAAGGGCTGCTTGTACAACTTCTTTTTTCTGGACCACCAAGAACTCATGAACAGCTCCTTCTGTGGCCTGAAGTGTGGCTAGTTTTGGATGCACCACCTAAGAAATAATCCTGCCTACTCTTGCTTCCGACATCTCTGACTGAACTCACAATTTGTGTGTGGGTGTGTGTGTACAGTTGTGTGTGCACTTGTGTGTGGTACTGGGGGTTGAACCCACCACAGTCTTTACAATGAGCTGTAACTCCAGTTCCCACGCTGCAGCACCACTTTTTTTTTTTGGTACTGGGAATGGAACTCCAATCCTTGCACTTGCGAGGCAGGCCACTGAACTGCTGAGCTGAATCCCCGGCCCCCACACCACTTTTTTTTAATGAGACAAGTCTTGTTAGGAATTCCAGGTTGGCCTTGAACTCTCTGTGTAGCCCAAGATGGCTGCAAATTCACCATCTTCCTGCCTCAGATTCTCAGAGTGCTAGGATTACAGGTGTGTACCACCAGACCCAGCTTCGTCATTGGTTTCTGTTCACGGTAGCAGTCCATTCCTGTTTGTCTGGATGTGTGCACACACAAAACTGCACTTTCTGCCTCAGGTTTTCTTAAGGTGGCTCACCCTGTAATCTGTCATGAAGGTCCCAGCTCTTGAGCTTCTTTCCTTTCTTTTTTTTTTTTTTTTCTTGGTACTGGGGATCGAACTCAGGACCTTGCACTTTGGAGTTAAATTCCTGCCCTTGAAGCTTCTCTGAATGACAGTCGTGAGCTATAGGTTGCTGGGAGGCATTGAGGCCAGCTGATTCAGCCTCCAAGTCTGCTGCCTTAGGATGCCCTGCTCCGCTGCCCCTGCACTTCAAGGAGACCCAAATACAGTTCTTCTTGGTGCAGAAGTGGTGCAGGACGGGGAGACAGAGGAGGAATATCCTAAGGAGATAGCGGCAGGGCTGGCGTGGCAGGTTCTGAGGCAGCAGAAGTGGTTTGTCTTTTTTCTTTTTCTTGTTTGATGGTAAAATACAAGGTGCAAAATGCATTTTCTCATCTTAACCATTCTGTTTCATTTGTAAAAAATGTTTCTGGTGTGGGGATGAAACCCAAGGCTTCATACAGTCTAGGCAAACACCCTTCCACTGAGCTACATCCCAGCCCATTTAAACAACCCTGCTTTTTTTTTTTTTTGGTATGGGGATCAAACATGGGACCTTGTGCTTGGGAGGCAGGTGGCGGAACCACTAAGCTGAATCTCCGGTCCTTCCCCAGTTTTGTTGAGATAGGCTATTGCTAACCTGAAACTTAACCTGTTAACTCCCCACATTCATACTTCCCAACCCCCATCCACCATGAATTCGGCTACTCTGAGTACCTCACACATAATGGTACAGTGAGTGAACAAAATATATAACGAATATTTAAAATTTAAAAATATTGATCAGGCATGGTGGAACATGCCTGTAATTCCAACACTTGGGAGGCTGAGGAAGAAGGACTGTCACAAGTTCAAGGCCAGCCTGGGCTACAAAGTGAGACCCCGTCCAAACAAAAAGTAATACAAAGGGCTGGGGATTTAGTGCAGTGGTTTCACTTCCTGCCTTGCAAGCATAAGGACCCGAGTTTGATTCCCGGAACTATAAAACAAAACCACCCCCCCCAAATTGCATTAAAAGACATATTACCATTAATCCCCTCACTTTGAACACACTCATGTCATTATTTTTGCCATTTTCTGCAGTAGTTCTGGAAGTCCTCTTCTGTATCTGAGACATGATTAAAAATAAAACAATAACAGCGGATGCTGCTGTCAAGTGCCATCCAGCGCAAACAGTCAGGCTCATTTTCGTGTTGTGGGCCCATCCAACTCTTCACCATGTCCGGCACAGCAAGTCAAAATGACCATGAAAGGTAAATTTTTTTTTTTTTGGTACCGGGGATTAGAATTTGGGTCCTTGCGCTTGCAAGGCAGGCCACTGAACCGGTGAGCTAAATCCCCGGCCCAAAGGTAAATGTTTTGAATTAACTCAGGATACTGAGGTGGCCACAGAGCACAACTGAAGACACTGACAGGTGGGTGTGGGGTACGTGCCTGTAATACCAGCACTGGGGCGGCCGGGGCAGGATGATCACCCAGAGTTCAAGGCCAGCCTGGGCTTCATCACAAGACCCTCTTTCAAGAGACAAAACAAAACAAAAATAAAGGCACTGACAAGAGGACTTCCAAATTCCTTTAGAAAGTGGCAAGGATCATGGGATAAGTGCGTTCAGGGTGAGTGTTTAGAGGGGCATTAATGGCAATTTTTTAACCGTAATTTAAAAAAAAAAATTTAACATTCACTGGCCAGGCTGAGGAAGGAGGATAACAAGAAGGATGGAGCCCAGCCTGGGTAACTGACTTAGCAGGATCTTGTTTCAGAAAGGAGGGTGGGGTGTACCTCAGTGTGAAGGGCCTGTGCTCATTCCCCAGTACCACCAAATAAATACATTAAAAAACTGTATTCTTCCATCACACCTCATAAGGGGAATTATGCAGTATTTGTCCTTTTGTGACTTAGTTCACTTAGCATAATGTTCTCAATTTTCATCTATGAGGCAGCATGTTTCAGAACTCCTTTCCTAAGACTAATATTCGTGTAAACTACCCTTTGCTTACTATTCATTTCTCCGTAGACACCTGTGATCTTTCCATCTGCCTGGTATGGCTGAGACAATGTTATGAACATCAGTAAACAAACATGGCAAAGAGCTTACTGGACCTGACAGACCAAAGTACTCTCAGCTACTCAAAGGCGGCAGGAGCTAAGCTGGGTTTACATTGTTATTTTTCACAGGGCCTGATTTCGGAGTCTCTGATAGATTTTACTGTAGGATCACACCTGGCTCCTGTTCAACTGCGATGACCTTCCTTTCTGAACTCCTTAAGAGGCATTCACACCACTTGGGTTCTGTTCCCTTCCCTACTCCTTCACTCTGAGGAATCCATGATTCAGGCCAGTCTGAGGATTCTGCTACAACTCAGGCTCTCGCAAGGCTTTTCAGAGAGGGAGTTCTCTGTACTTTCTTGTACACAACCTCTGCTGTCTGGAGCCAGTAACAACCGCAGGAAGAGTTGGGGGCCCCCACCCACGGTGTGCCCACAGCAGTTCCCAGGCTGCACCCACTTCTTTCTGGCTTTGCCCACTTCCGACCATGCGGCCACTCTTAAGGGCTGGTCGGCCAAGGCCCCCACGCCAGACTTAAACCAGCCAGAGAACTTTACAGGAATTTCGCAGCAAACCAGGACCTACTACTAGGTTTCCAGATTCCTACCCAATTCTAATCCGAGCCTTCTGGGCTCACCTGTTCACTCTCCGTCTTCGATCCAGTTTAGAAGCTGGTAGACTGCGGAGCCCCTGCGAGCGGGAACTCCCCAAACACCCAAATCCCGCG